AAATTATGTAATTATTTCAGACATTCAATCGGCTCACAGCACTATCAAGACGAGATTCTGAATGGTTCACACACTTCCCAAGAAAAGGAGAGTTTTTCAAGAATATTGATCGAATTCTAGCTGAGGATCGATGGGAGGTACAGCATCAGTGCATCAAATTCTTACAGGAAGCTATGGCGACGTTTGGATCGGTTGGTGACAAGATCTCCTTGTTTTGCTCCCACCTTATTCCTTTTCTACTAGTTTTTCAATTACAGCTATCTAGCAAAAATCTCTTGCATTTGTCGCCTTAATAATCAGAAAAATTTCAATTAGCATTCTTAAAATATGAATAATGATTGATTTTGAAAACATATGAACCGAAAATGTTACAAAAACAACGTTTAAAACAATTCAACCCAAAAAGCTCCAATTTTTGCTCAAACAATTTAAATCTACCTAAACTATGTAGTATGACTATTACAGAATCTGGAGTATTGTATCTGCTACCTAATGCCAAATCTCGTGCCAAAACTAGGAAGCTCGAAAATCACCGTTCGTAAGATATCCATACAAGCTATACAGACATTTCTGAGGTTGAAACCAGACGCGCTCGGTTCCGTTTTGGTAGGTTCAGTACGTCTAATTATATTCTTTGCTTAAATATTCTTTTACAGAAAACTCTCTCCAGTTTCTTACTGACTTCTACAGACCGTGCAACCAAAGGCGAAGTGGTGAAAGAGTTTCCAGCAATGTTTATTCCAGAGGTTTTCTTTTGTTTTGGTGATCCTACTTGGCCGCTTTATAGTCCTGGCTTTGCAGCTTGCTCAATGGGACTGGTCAACCTTGCTGGATGCTTTGACGAAGCTTATGGCAACCTCGGAAACGGAATTAGCAGAGGGGGCAGCATTAGCTGCAAAAAAACTGGAAGGCAAGTTATGTCTCGTAGATTAAGCAACAAAACGTTAGATTATCTAATTTCTGAAATTCTTCGTATAAGAGTTATAAACAAAAACTAAAGTTAGTTTGTAACTACTAAAGAAAAAAACAGAAAAAGATGAAAATTAGATTATTCTAGAAGCAAAAACGAAAATTAGGAAAATATGAGCTTTAGGGGTTTTTTGGTTGGAG